CATTTTGCTTAAGGTTTGCTTTGTCTTCTAGAATCTATTTCCCCTCTTCTTTTTTTTTTCCTCTCTTACTCCCTCATCTTCTCTCCTCTCTGCCTGTTCTGTCATCTCCTCATTACTACACTACAAAAACTACCACTACCACTACTACTGCTGCTGCTCCTACTATTACTGTTGTTCTTACTACTACTGCTGCTGCTCCTACTACAACTGCTGCTCTTACTACTACTGCTACTACTACTACTGCAGATCCTACTGCTACTACTGCTGCCACTACTACTGCTGCTGCTCCTACTAATACTACTACTACTATTCTACCATCACTCATTAGTCCGAAGTCTTTTACTTTCCTACTCCTTCGTCCTCTCTCCCCTGTGCCTGTCCTGTCATTTCATTATCATCATTATTATTGTTATCTATTCAATCAACAGCCTGAAAAGTCTTTTGTAACACTGGAGTTAATCATGACCAGCGGTCTCCCCTATGGCGGTAATAAACTCACCATTGATAGCCTGTTGCTGCGACCTGCGGACTGCATGCGGCCTTTTTTAATCACACCCACGGCCTCCTGTAAAAGATATTCTGCATTTTTTTTCAGTGATTTCGATTAGTTGCTGTGTAACTCATGACAACACACATGTGACCAGTATGGCCACAGGGGATCCTGAGTTTGACATTATTTGTATAAAAAAAAAAAACTGACTGACCTAGACTCGAACCCTCGACCTTTTGGCTGGCAGGCCAGTGGGCTCTTTTCTGTTAAGCCACCACATCATGTGATATTAAGGGAAATCACATATTGTAGGGAGGTTAGGGTTATGGTTAGTGTTTAAAATATATCGACTACTACTAATTCTAACCCTAACCGCCCTATAATGTAGGATTTTCGTAAATCTCACGTGATGTGGTCGCTTTAAAGAAAATAACTGTCCAGTGTCTACTGACTGCCCTGGCACAGAACTAGCTAGTGATTATTGTTCAAGCTTGAAAAACCCTGTTCCTCTTTTAGTGTTTTTTATTTTTTTATTTTTAACATAAACATTGGCGAATTTTGGAGGGTGGCATCATGTTTGCAGTGTTTCAGTAATATCTGCTTTTTCATTTTTGCATTCAAAAGAGCTGTTTGGTCGTCCACTTCTGGACTTTAGTGTTGTCCCAGAACTTGAGATTTTAGGTGCACATCCGTTTTACATATCAGACTTATCTATTTGCAGACTGTCAGTTCCCTGCCTTTCAGGCAGATGCACTCCAACTTTGAAGAAAGCATCCCTAATTAGTCACCTTTTACAACATGCATGTTAAGGGGAGCAGTTATTCTATTCTTTTCCCCCAAAATGGGGCCCCGGAACCAACAGGGTGATTCCAGTAATATAAATTTGATTTTTCTTCATCATCCACTTTGAATCATTTTTTACTGCCTCATTTGCACATTTATTTCTATCAGTTTCACACCTTTTTTTTTTTTGAAACATTTCACTTATGTCTATGGTGCTGCGTGGTCTTGAGGCATGGTATCCGCCTCAAGTGATGGAGGTTCCGATTTTAATCCCTTGTGAAGGCTGGGATTTGGACTTATAGTTATTCCCCCTGGTCTCTGGGTAGTGAGATTGGACGCCCGTGTGCCCGTGTGCACACGTTAAAAAAAAATCCCTTGGCGGTTGGAAATCGAAAAATGAAGCCTAACAGTGCTGCCCAAACAAAATTTGGAATTTAAAAAATCTACCCAAAGCATTTCAGGATCCACGCCGGTGCCACAGAGACTCCGACTTGAGTTAGAAGAAAGACCAGAGCACTTATGGGTTACTACCTCTGTGCCATGATGTTGATCCATTGTTCAAACCTCAAACTCATTTCTAACAAGCTGATAGTAGCCTTTTGCTAAATGCAGTTTCTCAGGTTAGCAGTTGGCTTTGATACTACATTAGGTGCAACTAAAAGTATTGTAGCACCCAAAGGTGCTTTAACAAAACAAATTATTTAGAATGGATAGATATTACCGTAGAGATTTGAGGTGATATGATTTTGCATATACTAGGTTATCAGATTTTAAAGATGGGGGTCATCAGGGTTATTCTCCATTCACTTACCTTACGTTCATTTACAGGAGCATTCTGCACCAGAGAGGAATAAATGTCTGACACTGTAAATGTTAAGACTGCCCCACAAACATGCATAAATTTGTCACATTCTGAAAAGTCTGCGCAGACATGCGTAAATGTGTCACATTCTTTAAAGTATGCACAAAAAGGATTAAATACCTGACGCTCTGTAAATGTTAAGACTCCGCCACAAACATGCGTAAATGTGTCACATTCTGTAACTGTTAAAAGTCTGCATCAGAGAGGAATAAATACCTGACAAATGTTAAGACTCCGCCACAAACATGCATAAGTGTGTCACATTCTTAAAAGACTGCACAGATATGCGTAAATGTGTCACATTCTTAAAAGTCAGCGCAGACATGCATAAATTTGTCACATTCTGAAAAGTCTGCGCAGACATGCGTAAATGTGTCACATTCTTTCAAGTATGCACAAACAGGATTGAATACCTGACGCTCTGTAAATGTTAAGACTCCGCCATAAACATGCGTAACTGTGTCACATTCTGTAACTGTTAAAAGTCTGCATCAGAGAGGAATAAATATCTGACAAATGTTAAGACTCCGCCACAAACATGCGTAAATGTGTCACATTCTGTAACTGTTAAAAGTCTGCATCAGAGAGGAATAAATATCTGACAAATGTTAAGACTCCGCCACAAACATGCGTAAATGTGTAACATTCTGTAACTGTTAAAAGTCTGCACCAGAGAGGAATAAATACCTGTCAAATGTTAAGACTCCGCCACAAACATGCATAAGTGTGTCACATTCTTAAAAGACTGCACAGACATGCGTAAATGTGTCACATTCTTAAAAGTCTACGCAGACGTGCGTAAATGTGTCACATTCTTAAAAGTCTGCGCAGACATGCGTAAATGTGTCACATTCTTTCAAGTATGCACAAACAGGATTGAATACCTGACGCTCTGTAAATGTTAAGACTCCGCCATAAACATGCGTAACTGTGTCACATTCTGTAACTGTTAAAAGTCTGCATCAGAGAGGAATAAATATCTGACAAATGTTAAGACTCCGCCACAAACATGCATAAATGTGTCACATTCTGTAACTGTTAAAAGTCTGCATCAGAGAGGAATAAATATCTGACAAATGTTAAGACTCCGCCACAAACATGCGTAAATGTGTAACATTCTGTAACTGTTAAAAGTCTGCACCAGAGAGGAATAAATACCTGTCAAATGTTAAGACTCCGCCACAAACATGCATAAGTGTGTCACATTCTTAAAAGACTGCACAGACATGCGTAAATGTGTCACATTCTTAAAAGTCTACGCAGACGTGCGTAAATGTGTCACATTCTTAAAAGTCTACGCAGACATGCATAAATGTGTCACATTCTTAAAAGTCTGCACAGACATGCATAAATGTGTCACATTCTTAAAAGACTGCACAGACATGCATAAATGTGTCACATTCTTAAAAGTCTACGCAGACGTGCGTAAATGTGTCACATTCTTAAAAGTCTACGCAGACATGCATAAATGTGTCACATTCTTAAAAGTCTGCACAAACAGGATTAAATACCTGACGTTCTGTTAATGTTAAGACTCTGCCACAAACATGCGTAAATGTGTCACATTCTTAAAAGTCTGCGCAGACATGCATAAATGTGTCACATTCTTAAAAGTCTGCACAAACAGGATTAAATACCTGACGTTCTGTAAATTTTAAGACTCTGCCACAAACATGTGTAAATGTGTAACATTTTGTAACTTTTAAAATTCTGCACCAGAGAGGAATAAATACCTGACAAATGTAAAGTCTCCGCCACAAACATGCATAAGTGTGTCACATTCTTAAAAGACTGCACAGATATGCGTAAATGTGTCACATTCTTAAAAGTCAGCACAGACATGCATAAATTTGTCACATTCTGAAAAGTCTGCGCAGACATGCATAAATGTGTCACATTCTTTCAAGTATGCACAAACAGGATTAAATACCTGACGCTCTGTAAATGTTAAGACTCCGCCACAAACATGCGTAAATGTGTCACATTCTGTAACTGTTAAAAGTTTGCATCAGAGAGGAATAAATACCTGACAAATGTTAAGACTCCGCCACAAACATGCATAATTGTGTCACATTCTTAAAAGACTGCACAGATATGCGTAAATGTGTCACATTCTTAAAAGTCAGCGCAGACGTGCATAAATTTGTCACATTCTGAAAAGTCTGCGCAGACATGCATAAATGTGTCACATTCTTTCAAGTATGCACAAACAGGATTAAATACCTGACGCTCTGTAAATGTTAAGACTCCGCCACAAACATGCGTAAATGTGCCACATTCTGTAACTGTTAAAAGTCTGCATCAGAGAGGAATAAATACCTGAAAATGTTAAGACTCTGCCACAAACATGTGTAAATGTGTAACATTCTGTAACTGTTAAAAGTCTGCACCAGAGAGGAATAAATACCTGAGAAATGTTGAGACTCCGCCACAAACATGCATAAGTGTGTCACATTCTGTAACTGTTAAAAGTCTGGGCTATCCTCCGACTAACGGTCGGCCAAGATGGCGGCCTTAAAATATCCAGTTGAGCCACAGTCACATGTCAATTGCACGTTTCCGGCTACTTAATGTGCGCTTTTCCGGCGACTATGGCTACCGCCACGTGGCCCCCACGCGGCTCACGTGGCGTGGATTGGGGCTAAACTAGATGGCTAGGACTCACGAGCAAGGCTGCAGGAGATGCTGAAGCTGCTGCTTGTGAGTCCTAGCCATCTAGTTTAGCCCCAATCCACGCCGTTGGCGAAAAACCGCCGGAAGATCGCAAATTGAGTAGCCCGAAGCGCGCAATTGTTGATTATTTTTATGAAAGTTTGTAATGTCTGGTGGAAGTCTAAAATTGTCATGTAACACATCCATTGACAGAACTTAGGATCTTCACGATATGGGCGGTACAACAACTCTGACCTGCCATCCCAGCGGCCAGTCTCCTACTCAGAGGTTTCGAAATCCACAGGGTCTCTAGAGATAGATTACAAGAAGGTGAGTCAGATGCATACTGAAGTATCATCACTATCATAAGCTTAGACCAGGCAAGACTAACCCAGTCAACAAATGCCAGCAGAAGACAGATGTGTCGGCTGAAAGGTGCAAATATTGCGGCCAGGCTGTAAACAGACACAACGCAATTACATCTTCAGATGAACGCAGAAGAAGAATAAGTTTAGGCTGTCGTGTTTCACCATTTTTTATGATCACCAGAATCAAGGATCATGTTAATGTTCTTGTCCCCCTTCCCAGCCTAGCCATCTGTGTATTTATCTCATCGCCGACCCCTTGCTCTTTTTTGCACAAATCTTGCCATTTGTCACCAAGTTCTTAAATTTTCTTCTTTTCATAACATGTCTGAGATACACTGTCCATGTCTGGTTTCTCTTATAAATTTTTGGTTTTCCACTATCTGAAAGAGGACTGTCCCGGTTTTGTTTGTTTGTTTGTTCCTGTATCTTTCCTTGGTATCCTCTGCATTCTTCCCAAAAAACCACATTGCTGCTGTGAACTCTTTCCATGCAGGACACTTTTCTTAGAACATTTGAATGAAAATTGTGAGAGAGTTGTGTAAATAAGGAGCTCAGATTAGGGAATAATATTCTGCAGGAATTATTGAATTTAAGACGGGGGGGGGGAAGAAATAGGAGATGTATCTGGTCAACCTTTTGTGTCATCAGATATAAGATGAAGAAGATGGTGATATATTTGGGACATCATGTGGGGAAATGGACAGAGAGTCACCAGGCAAGCACTGAAGTGGGAAACAAATCGATTCAGGGAGTGAGTACACCCAAGAGAAATCTTAAAATGAACATTTGTGAGAGAGAACAAAGGTGATGGGCTGGATTCCACCCCTGTCATCAGAAAAATATAGCACAAGATAAAATGGAGTGGCAGACTAGATTTCAATCTCTATGTAACAGCAGGATGGTGATTCTTCTTCTTCTTCTTTGCAGAAAGTTCTAGTTGTTCATCCACCTCTAGACTGTATTTTTGTTCCAGACCCTGAGTGTTGCCTGCACATCCATTTTACAGATCTGGCTTATTTATGTGCTGATTGTTGGTTAGTGCCTCTTTGGCAGATGCACCCCGACTTCAAAGGAAACCCCCGATTAGTCGACTCCTAGGACATGCTTCTTGAGGAGGCGGGGAGGGTGCTGATGTGGGACATTAGTAAACAGATGTGTCATATGTAGATCTCCTCAGAACCATTTGATGGTGATTACTCCTTACCCATTTGTCACACCCTTTACTTTGCCCAGTTAGTGTACTAGACTCATACGCCCATATCTTTTCATGGCAAATTTTGTTTTTCATACAAACATTAAATTAAGAGTTTACTGTACTTAACGTCATCACACATACATTAGAGTCTACTGGGCTCAACATTATTATATATGTATGCACTGTTGTGTGTCAAATTTAATATTGTCATGCATACATAAGGGTATACCAGACTTCATGTTATCATATGTAGTTTAGAGTGTAGTAAACTTAATCTCACCACACATACATTAGTGTATACTAGACTTCGTTAACATTTTCAGACATACATTATAGTGTATTAAATTTATTGCTTTACTACATACATTACAGTATATCAGATTTAACATCATCACAAATACGTCAGTGTATACTAGACTTGGTTAACATTTTCAGACTTACATAGGAGTATATCAGATTTAACATTATCATATGTACATTAGAGTTTGCTAGATTTAACATCATACATACAATAGAGTGTATGAGATTAACTTCACATCATATACATCAATTAGAGTTTACCAGACTTAACAAAATCATTGATCTGTCGGACTCTTTTAATTTGACATTATTATACATATTTTCGAGCTTACTAGAATTAACATTTTCTTGTGCACATCACACTGTACTATTCATGACATTGCCACCTGCTTTTCAGAAATATGAAGAAGAAAAGATCGAGAACGAGAGACTCAGGAAAGAACTGGAGGAGACCAAGAAAAGCCTGCTGGAAGCAAAAGCAGAGCTAGATCGACTCATGAAACAGAAAGATGCTGCTAGAAACTCTGATAGGGTTGGTGTTTTTTATAAGCTTTTATTAAATTCACTCTTTTCTGTTTGTCTTAAAATTGTTGTGTTCATTTGTTTTTTTTCATATGCTTTTTCTTGTTTCCTGTTAATCTCTTGTTTTGTTAATTCTCTTTGTTTTGATTTTGTTTTGGATTTTTCGATTGCCTTGTTCAAATTCTTCAATATTATTTTGCCCTCTGTTATCCATTGACATTCTTGAAGCTCTTTGTACTCGTTTATGTTTTATCATGCTGTTAAAGTTCTGATTTATGCTGTCTTATTTTTATTGAGGTCTCCATTCTTATTCTTATTTCATCATAATATTTTACATTCTTTTTTTTTTCCCCAGTGATTTGCTATCTGATATGCTGGTTAGTTATTTTAACACTTTTTTTTTTTTTTTTTGTACATCAGTAAGCAGTATCAGAACCATGACTCTTATCATTTGCCATTTATTTATTCCTTGCCTCTTAAGCAGACGCTCTCAAACTTGGTAGGAAACACTCCTAATTAGTGTACTTTTACGACATGCTTGTTGGAGGCAATGGGTCTGTTCTCTTTTTTTTTTTTTTTTCTTTAAAAAAAATACGGCCCCTGAACCTACACAGGGATTTTCATCTGTGTGAAAATTGATTGGTGGCACACATGACTGGAGGCTGTGGCCAGATATGATCACCTGTACCCCCATACCATGGATTTTCATCTGTGTGAAAATTGATTGGTGGCACACATGACTGGAGGCTGTGGCCAGATATGATCACCTGTACCCCCATACCATGGATTTTCATCTGTGTGAAAATTGATTGGTGGCACACATGACTGGAGGCTGTGGCCAGATATGATCACCTGTACCCCCATACCATGGATTTTCATCTGTGTGAAAATTGATTGGTGGCACACATGACTGGAGGCTGTGGCCAGATATGATCACCTGCACCCCCATACCATGGATTTTCAGGAAAAGAAGAGACTCTGAAATAGCATCTGTACAATCTAAATGCTTTGCCCCCAAGGTGCTACTAATTCTTTACCTCCATCTATTACAAATCCCCATGAAAGCCGCTATACTAGCATTGCTTAATTGGCTAGTCCCTCTCAAGGCTAGTTAATGCCATTGGTTACGTTAGTGATTGCACAGTTTTTAGGGAAACTGGCTATGATTATATCCATTCAGTTGCGTTTGGAGGGAGTTATTGTGAATATTATAGGTTTCCTTTCCCTGAGAATGCCGCTTATCCAGCATTTCTACAGTGATATGTTCACCAGACACCTAATTAATACTGTTGGCTATTTTTGTACCTGTGCGGATGTTTACAAGGTCAGGATGTGAATATGTTAACTAAAACTAAAAGTAGCATTTTGGGGTGTCATGTGAGCCACACAGCTTTTTTAAAGCCATGTTGATGTCAGATTATTCCTGTAGGCCTCAGTGATGGTATCACAACATGAGTCACTGATTCATGATTTTTTTAAGGCTCCAGGAATATATTTAATTTAATGCTTCACTCTGTCATTGATTACTCCCTTTATATATCTTTATATATTTCAACAGCAAAAAAACATATTAGTTACCTGCAAAAACCTGTGTAAAAGGTTTTTTAGGGGAATTCCTGCGAATTTATTACCGTTAACCAAGGGAAAAGGATTAAGGCCATGATAATGTCATAATTCACCTTTAACCTTTAGTAGTTGCATACCATCCAGGGTTATGGTATGAGTCACCATATATTGTTGCTGTTTTTTTGTTTTTTTGTTGTTAGGCCAAGATAACTTAGACATTTAGTTCAGTTTGTGTTTATTAATTACTCCCCTTTATATATTTTGAAGGGGAAAAAATGGCAGCGTTTATTACAAAATAATTTTTTTTTAATTCATTTAGAACCACTGTAAATTTTTTTAAATTATAATTATTGGAAGAAAAGGGGGGGAGGGGGGGGGGGGGGTAACTTTGAAGATTCTTAAGCTCTGGGCTCATTTTTCCAAAGGGTTTTGGGCCAACTACTAGTTAGCTTTTGCTATAGATGACATGAGTTGTTGCTGATTGTTCTCCTCAGGATAAGCGTGCTTTGGAGAGGAAATTATCAGAAATGGAGGAGGAGCTGAAAGTAAGTGTTGTGCTTAAGTTTCTTTCAGTACTTTATAGATTCTTTGCTTGTAAGTTTAGTTACCATGGGTGATGTAGTGTACTGTTTGTTTCCACTGTGTAAGCCAGCACTCTTTGGTTACATTGGTTGAGTGATTTCCTTTCTTTTGTTTTTCAACCATATCCTACACTTGAAGCAGCACTATGACCTTGTGTTTTGAATGGATAAGGACCATATTTAATCAAAGAAAACATCCCTGAACTGGCACCATATTTACTCTAGTAAATGTCACTGATCACATAATAAGTTTATTCAAGTAAATATCACTGACTGTCTGCCATATTTACTGAAGTAAATGTCACTGATCGCATAATAAATTTATTCATGTAAACATCACTGACTAACTGCCATATTTACTGAAGTAAATGTCACTGTCCATTTACTGTATTTACTCATGTAAGTGTAACTGACCAATTACTATATTTTTTCACAGACGTCATTGACTTTTACCATATTTACTTAAGGAAATGTCACTGATCATTTACCATATATATTCACATAAATGTCACTGACCTGGTACCATATTTACTCAAGTAAATATCACTGACCATTTACCACATTTATTCATGTAAATGTCACTGACCTTGGACTATATTGACTCCACTAAATCTCTTGACTGAATAATGTCTGTACTTTTGTTTATGTTTGTGAGAAAGCCAGCCAACACATTACAGAAAAAAAATGCAGGGGAACCTTTGAGTTAGGAAGAGAAACTTGGTATATCAGCGACAGAGTCTGTTGGAGATCCATTGCAGCCAACCGTCACTCTGGAGGCAGAACCTAAAATGACAGATTGATTCATTGATTAATATTTCACTGGGGACTGAATAAGTCAGGATTTCCCACCCACAAGTGGGGATGCTTACTAATAAGGTGCTTAGAGGAGAAAACAGTAAAATTTTTGAGGAAAACATGCTGATTGCAGATAGGACATGCCTAGAGGGAACCTGGTAATAATAATGTAGCTAAAGTGTCCCACGGGGCCAGAGAAATACAGTAAGACCAACATCATCATCATCATCCTATCACATAGGGTTCACAATTTATCCTTGCATTCTGTTCTATCTTGTGAAGCTTCAGTGTCATGGATGGAATCTAATCAAGCACTTTTGGCCTCTGTCATAGAAATTCCTCTTAAGCTTTCTCATGGACATCCTTGTTTCATTAATCCATTTGTTTCCCATTTAAGTGACTGTTTGGTGATTCTCTATTTGCTTCTCTTCAGGATGTACCCACTGTATCACCATCTTCTTTGTTTTATAACCATTGACACCAGCTGTTGTCCAGATATTTCTTTTTTTTTTCTCATCTTTTTGAAAATCATCCTGTGTGTGTAGGTTCTGGACTGCCAATGTGGGTAGAGATGCATACCATACAAGGCGTGCTTATGGTTGTTTCCTTTACAGTCAGAGTGCATCTGCCTTAAGGGCAAGATACCAGTAGGCTGCATACAAATATGCTTGATCTGTAAAACGGATATGCATGCAAAACTCAAGTTCTGGAAATAGATCAAAATCCAGAGTTTACAGCAGGTGACCGCTTAAAAAAAAACGAAAAAAGAAGAATTCATCTTATTTAGTGTTTTTCAATTTGCTTAGAAATTAGAGGAAGAAGAAAAAATGCTTAGAAAATAAAATTAGAGACACAGGTGAATAAGATAGGGAGTACATAGCGTGAAAAGCTGCAGAAGATGGTAAAAGAAAGCTTGGCATTTGGTGTGGCATGCCTGTTCTGCATTTGAGGATAAAAGAAGAAAACATATCAAATTTTTTTTTTTTTTTTCTAATTTTGCATTGTACCTTTTTAGGCAGTTTTCACATTGTGTTTTGGTTTAGAGGCAAGCTTCCATTTCAGTCGAACATGTCCAGTTTCAGTGAAACCCTGACTAGTTACGAATTACAACCTGCTTATAAGAGGGCAGTTGGTTTGTTATTTATTCTCCCCTTTAAAAAAGTAGGCCTCGGAACCCACACACAGGAATTTAGGTCGGCTGATAATTGTATCATTCGTATCATTACACATTCTAGACAAATCATCTTTATATAGAGACCACAATATCATGTATGTACTACAAGCTTAGACATTGTTTAAATACCACTTCTGCACTTATTCTACCTGTTAACCAATTCTTGCAGTTGATGGAAAAAATTAAGGCAGAAAACAAAAAACTTAAGGAAGACAACAGAGCTCTGACTCGTCTAGTTACTGCCCTCTCCAAATAGGTAACTGGTGCAATTGTTTCTTAGGAAGGAGGCTACTGGGCATTGTAGACTCACGGTATACAACTGAGCAGTTTTATTATTATTTTTTTTTTGGGGTGGAAGAAAGTACATATTTTGTATAAATAATTTTCTCAAAACATGTAATTTTATTATCAATTTGAATGAGAATTTTTAAGTCAAGTTAATTAAAGTAATTAAAAATAGGTCTGGTTAATTGTACTGGCTAAACACTGGCTTCAGTTAATTTAACTCATAGAAAACCAGGTTCTGTTAAGCTGTTAAATTTAATTCATGAGAACAAAAACTATTACAGTTTATTGCCTGTGTATTTTGCTGCGTCACAACAGATGCATTAGTGCAGAATTTACTTCAATGTTAAACGAAACACGAAAATGAATTTTTTTTAAACAGAAATACATATATCATACTGGTTCAGGTTATGTACTGTATATCTCACTAGAGTGGTCTCAAGAAAAGTCATGTGATCGATCTATCGGTTTGTCCCCCCTGGGCTGCTACCTGAGGGTTTCCCATACCATCCTGAGATTAAGACATCTCAGTCTAAATGCAGACCAAGAAGGCAGATGCCAGGTACCCTGTTTCACCTGCAAAGAAAGGGGGCTGTGTGGTCTCAAGGCATGGTGTTCGCCTCGAGTGCTAGAGGTTCCAGGTTCAATCCCCGGTAAGGGCTGGGAATTTTTCACGTAGACTTGGACTTCTAGTAATTCCCCCTGGCCTCTGGGTAGGGAGATTGGACGCCCGTGTGCATTGTTGTGCACGTAAAATATCTCTTGGCAGTTGAAAACCGAAAAGAGTAGCTTAACGGCCCTGCCTGGGCAAACATTTGGAGTTTAAAATCTACTCATAGTATTTCAGGATCCTCGCCAGTGCTGCAGAGCCTCTTCGGACTCAGACTTGAGTTAGAAAAAAGAACGGAGCACTTGTGGGTTACTACCGGTGTGCCATGATGTTGATCCTTTGTTCAAACTTCAAACCTGCAAAAAAGTTATAATTAGGGCATCAGAAATGTTATGTTACACCTGGCAGGTGTAGTCCTTTGCGGATGATAACTAGATGGTTAATCATGTGATCTTTTTGTTTACTTAAGAGCATGGTTGCCCATCCCAACTCTCACTGCTTTTGAAAATTTCAGTAGGTACACACACACACACACACACACAAGTAGGAAAACTGTTTCATTTGAAAAAAATTATTATGCAGGTTCTTTGCAGATGTATTATTATTTTCATTTTTTTATTTTAAAAATACAAATGCAAGGGATTTTTTTTTAAAGATGCTTTTGTATAAAGTTAGTTCTTTATTATTTTCTTAGCCTGTAGCGTACATTTACTTCCAGAATCTCAGTAATATTTAAATACACCTTTTTTATGTACAATATTGGTATGGATTTCTTTGTGGCCCAGAAATAACATAGCTACCTTGAGGCATGAATGCATAGGTTTTAGTTCCTTGCAAGACCTGATAGTTGGCAAGCCATTAGATGCAAGTTTGCCAGATAGAAAAAATATCTGAACATTTTTGTTAAGGTTTTGGGACATATCTCTGAAGCAAAATTAAATTGTTTCTAATCTTTAATGTTTCAAGGTCTCTGGAATAGAGACTTTCCTGAAAAACACAATTTTTTAATCCATTATGTTTGTAAGCCTCTAAAATAGAGACTTTCATATTGAAACTCTGCTCTTGTTGTACACCAGATTGTTCCCGCCAGTAGACTGCCTGTCTTGTTGATTAGCCATGAATCTTGCTGCCTGTTCCTACCTAGCTAGTAACCTGTCATCAGTGCCGGATTTAGGTCTAAACAAAATATGCTACAGCACAGAGCCTCACAGTCTGCAGCCGCATACATTATTCCTCCCCCTCCCCCCAGAAATGCAGTTTTATTATATTTTAGATGCAGTTTTCTTTTAATCTATTTTAATTTTTTTAGGGTGTAACCCAGAGCCTTTTAGAGGTTAAAAACATTATTTCTCTGATTTTGCAAACATATTCTTTATTTTTTTTTTATCAGATTGAAACAAGTATATTTCCATTATCCTTATATTTTTATTGTTTTTAAAAACGTATATATTTTAAAGTTTTCTTAAATTAGCTGGCGTAATTTAAAATGGTAGGGGCCTTGGGGGTGTTATATAGCATAGTGCCTCAAGCCTAAATCCGGCCCTGCCTGTCATTCACAGCTGTTTTGATATACCATCTCTCTCTGGTTATTGTCAGTATTGCTCATCTTTACTAATTTTTATTTGACGCATTCTTGCAATGCTTGCCACCAGACTAATAGTTAGTCCAGTCAAAAGAAGAATGTTTAGGTTTGATCCTTGCTGAAGCTTTATTTTCTTGAAACATTTTTGCTGGTCATGTGGACTTTTCTCCATCGCATACCCTTTTATATATATATATATATGGGTGTAAGCATGAGTTCTTTTGCATATTGATTTCTCCACTAATGATTTGTTGTTGCCTTGTTAAAACATTTGTCTGTCCAAAGATTGATGTGGTCTTTTATGGACATCTCATGCCAGGATAAACTGTACTTTGTGACTGTCCATTGACCTATTGTTAGAGAATTTAATTTGGTGGTTGCCCCATGACTACCACTTCAACAAAAGATGTCAGTTACACTTTCAATTGGAAAGGGGGGGGGGGGGGGGGGGGTTGTGTAATAGTTTCTCCATCCATGTCAACAGATTTTTAAACAGGTCAGATGACCCACCTGCTAATACTTGTAGAAGCTAGAAATCCTATGGGTACACAGTATTTCTGTCTGAAAATGATGGTGGGACCAACTCCTGTTGTCGCCAGTTGTTCCTTCCTCTAACTCCATAATGTCAGCTACGTGTGTTTATAATTAGGTGTATTGTTGTTTGCGTTCACCAGCTATAAACACCAGTGGAAAGACCTGGTTGCCCATCCATTTCTGGACTTTGGCTTTGTTCCAGGACCTGAGTTTTGCATGTGCATCTGTTTTACAATTCTGACTTATTTGTATGCAGACTGCTGGTTCCTTGCCTCTCAGGCAGATGCACTCCGACTTCAAAGGAAGCCCCCAGTTAGTCGACTCTTACAACATGCTTTTTTGGTTGGCAGCGGGTCTATTCTTGTTTTACCTACAACAGGGCCCCGGTTCATATAAGGGGAGTTTTTCCAATATGTGCTTTATCCAATGCCAGCAGCTTTCCCCCATCCAACAACCAGAAACTTCCCCTGGAGTTTACAGCCGCTGAATGCAAAGAAGATTGAGAAAACCTGTTGACGGCATAACCAGAATTTTCTTGTGCTGGAATCCACAGGGTCAGCAGAATAAAAAAAGACTAAAAAATCCAGAGCAAGGAATAAGTGAACTCATTTATTGATTTTTTTAAAGATGTGGTCAGCTGCATGCAGTATCAAAGGATAGGATGACATGGTGTGGGTTGGTTGAGGGCCTATGCATCATCATCATCATGTAGCAGGTCCTATGCAGAACATCACTCTCATCACGGTCTGCCTGAAAGAAACTGGGTCCCTGCCCCTCCTTTCTGGTACCCTGCCTTCTGCTATTATTTTCCCAATCCGCCGTGGCACTTGATATGACTAGTACTCAAATGGAGATAAAGAGCAGAAGAAGAAGTATGTCAGGACAAACATTTCAAGGAATAAAATAATTTTTTGTGTGTGACAGTGTTTCAGTGTGACTGAACACTTCAGCTCTTTGTGCCTCAACCAACTGTTGATCTCCTCCTCTTCTTCTTTATTCACTTACTTAAAGCTTAGGAAAATCCTGGTTGTTCATCCATTTGGACTTTGGCTTTGTGCCAGGGCCTGAGTTTTGCGTTTACACCTTTTTACTAGCAGGTGTGTGCAGTTGGTTGTTCCTTTCCACTGGGAAAGATTCACTCCAACTTCACAGGAAAGCTTTTGATTCAACTCTAACAGATTTCTGAAAGGAAACCATTTTTAAAACTAGCATATTTTACCTGATGTGTCAATAATTGTAATTATGGTTTGCCGAATTTGTGAACAGATCTCTTCACATTGATTCTGAATTATATTGGAAGTGTTTTTCTCCACCTGCATGAAGTTTTGAGCTGCAAGCCACTAAATTAATGAGTGAAAGTCATAAATTCCCAGATCAGAAGTTAGAATAATACAACTTAGATGTGCAGGTAAAGGTAGTAATGGGTCAAAGTAACAACTTCTTAAAACATAATTAAATTAACAAACAGGATGTAGTGGTTTCAAGTAACTCCTTTTTAAAACCTAAATAAATTAAAAAACAAGAATTAGTAGATTCTTATTCTTCACTTTTACCAGCTGTAAACTCCGGCATGAAGTTGTGGTGGTTCATCCACTTCTGGATTTTGGTCTTGTTTTAGAACTTGAGATTTGCCTGTATATCCATTTTATGGATGTGCACCCAAAATTCCAAGTTCTGCAACAAGACTAAAGTCCAGCAGTGGACAAACAACCAGAGCTTTCTGCTGGAGTTTACATTTACAGCTGGCAAAAGGGAAGAAGAAGTATAAGGTCTGAAAAAGTTCAGTGTCAGATACTTGTCTTGTTTCTATTAATCACACTAATTAAAATTAAGAACTTGTCTTGATTTGTATTTTTGCTCTAATTTAAAAATTTTAATGGTTTGAGATAATGCCTGGCACGTCAGCACATTTTTGTCTCTTGTCAGACCTTGCTCTGTTCTGAATGTCTTGACACAAGAATTGCCTGGCATGTGTGTACATTTTTCTCAGAAGTCAGATTTTTTCACAAGTCTTGTTGGAGTTTGAGTCTTGACAAATATATCCTGGAATATTTTGTCAAAATTTGCCTGGCTTATCAGTAAAATGTCTTATTAGTTAGATCTCACAGGTTTAATTTAAGTGCCTAAATAAAAGTCACTTAGTGTATCAGTACATTTGTTTAGTGAGTCAGATATCTTTTCATAAACCTATTCTTAGTTGATTGTGATATGTATTATAAAATAATTGTAAAAACTGACTATCATTGTACATAATTCTTACTAGAATCTGTTTTGCAGTGTTCACTAATTATTTACAAATTAAAAGATGCAAACAGTTTGAAGTTGAAAGCTTAAATGCAGTGGAGTGGTTTGTACTCTGATTTGCTCGTTATTGTAATTTATGATTGACTGTGATTGTTTAAAATATAATGCGGAAATTTAAAAACATGGCATATATCAACAGTTGTGAAGATTTTAAAAACCAGCGCACATTAATAGTTTCGAAGATATCAGTAAAACCCCAGATACTTCAACAGTTGGAAAGATATCATTAAAAATCAACATTAACAGTTGAGAAGATATTTAAAAAAACCAACAACAGTTAGGAAGATATTATTTTTTTTACAGCCACTAAACATCAACAGTTTAGAAAATGTGATTAAAAAACCAAATTTGGGAGGATATCATTTTTTTAAATATACATCAACAGTTTGGAGATATCATATAAAAAAAAACCAATATACATCATCAGTTGAGAAGATATCATTAAAAAAACCAACGTGCATCAACAGTTGGAAAGACATTACCTAATATACATAAGCAGCTGGGAACTAGGAATTGTCCTTGGGAAATAAAGGCAGCCAGCAAGATGTTCACAACATCACCTTTCGTGTGCTGATTGGTCTCTCTAGATTGCCACATCACATGCCAGATAGATACACTTACGGTGTGGAAAGGTCCTTCCTTAACTTCCTACTTTCTTAGATACATTATGTATCCAGTAAAGAAGGGAAGTTATTCTCATCAGTAATGGTGCGTGTTTTGGCAGCAGACTGCTTTGCATAGATGTCAGCAATGGTATCCAGAGGAGCCAATCATTCAGAGAGCAGTGGCAAACTACTGAATGTAAAAATTCCCTAATAAAACCCACAGTCGGCCAACAAACACTGGGGTTGGTTTGCGGTGTGCTGTGAATGATACATAGTTAATGTTTAATGTATAGCATGTGTGGCACAAGAAAGAACATATTTCCACATGTGTGACCAAAATATAGGAGCCATTGTTGGAGGGGGATGAAGGGACAGGGAAAGTAAAGAAAGTGATGTAGTATTGTACCAGTGCCGAAACATGTCACTTTGTAACTTCTTCATGCATCTAACCTGACAGTTGTTTGTTTCATGCTTGCAGAAAATGGAAACCCTGAAAGCAGACAACCAAAGGTTGAAAGATGAAAATGGTGCTTTGATCCGTGTCATCAGCAAGTTATCCAAGTAGCAGACGTCGGTCTTGTGATAGAACAAGTGATACCCTCCTCTTTGTGAAGTTCCATCTGTCTTTGAAATCATCCATCATTTTTTTTTTTTTTTTTTTTTGTGGTACACTTCTTATTTATTTGTTTTTGTCACCGAACCGTGCTGTTAATAAGCAGTATGTGTGTGTATTGTAGCATCTGAGTAGCTTTCAGCTTGGCTGTTACCACAGCGTCCGCATAATTGAAGTGGTCTTATTGTATTTTCTTGTGTGACTGATTGATTCTTAATATTTGACTAACTAATGAAGATGTAGATATCTTTTCTATCATATTCTATCTTATGAAGCTGAAGCTGATATTAGTGTTAATTTGAACTCATTCTATCTCTAATTGCATCCCATTTTGTTTGATTTTTTTTTTCTGATTAGATGGGTTTTTCACATTGCAGTGATTTTACTTTATACTTTTTCCCCTTGTGTATACACTCATGCTCCTGTTTTACCGCCTACTTACACTTTAGTGCCTTCACATTTTTTTTCACCCAGTTCTTCTTTTATTTGTCTGAAAAAAGATATCTGTGTCTGCAATTTTGTCTCTTCTATAAATTTTTATTTCATAGTCAATCAAGTTTTCTTTCCACTGTTTGTTTCAGTTATTTGTGCCAGTTAATTTTGTTTGCATGCATATATGTAATCGGTAAAATCAAGTGATGAATACCTGAGGCACTAAGAGTGGTTACCATTAGCACCCCCACGCTTGCTATAACAGTGAACTATTGCTTGCACATGCATTTCCAGTTTCCTTCCATAGGACTGTCAGTTTTCTAAAATATAAGTATGCTGCACTGTGTCATTGCTATTTCGTGTTAGTAACCACATCTTTTGAAAGTAGGTCGTACCTCAGTATTGCTACTGCACTTCTTTCTTTTGTCTCTATTCTGCTTTGCGCGGCTAGGCAGCACATGTAATTAGATGATCGGTATCCGAGCTAGGGCACACTTGGCTGCCCAGTATGCTGTGATGATGTGGAGTTTCAAGGTATCCGTGACTGCTTTAATCCATCTTCTTCTTGGTCATCCCCTAGCTCTTGGTGTTTCTACTTTTATGCTGTACTCTCTCATCGCTGGCTATCTGTCTTAACTTTTAAATATCCATACAAAACATCTGTTAAAGAATGAATACAGTTTTGTGTATGTGTGTGTGTAGCAATGTCTGTATATGCTTTTATGTGTGTGTGTCCTTCTGCGCTTTGTATAGGAATGTATTTTTTCTGAGTGGGCAAACCATTTGATTTGCTGTCTTTCTATGTAATTTAGAATTGGTTCTGTGCTAATTTGTCTTTTTTTATGAACCTATTTATGATTTTTTTTTCTGACCCCTACTGCAGAAAGGGATCTACTGAGGTATGATGGTGTGATCTACTGAGGTATGATCTATGATGGTGTGATCTACTGAGGTATGATCTATGATGGTGTGATCTAATGTGGTAGACAAGTTGTCTAGGTCATCCCCCAGCTGAGGATTTGTTTTGCCTTAGAGAATGTGGCTGTGGGTAAAAACAGTGAAGATAGGAAATGGTCATCTCACCTCAAATCCCAAATGTAATGTCTGCTTTAGGATTGCTGTAGCCTTATCTTCTTCTTTTTCTTGCATGTTCACCTCTAAAAGGGTAGTTGGCATATAAACCATTGTGGATTATAGTTAGGGTGTGTTGTCTGTGCATTTCTGCTCAAACACATTTGGTTTCAGCAAACCTCTGATTAGTCGCCTATGACAAATAGCTTAGCTTGGTGGGGGGGAGGGGGGCGCTTTTGTGTTTACTCATATCCCCCCTCCCCCAAATAAACCCAGGAACCCACCCACACTGGGTTATGACTGTTAAATGTGATAGTAAATAGGTTACAGTGCACCATGGTGCTATTTCATTATAACATTATTATGATAAAGATATCAGTATTAGCCCTTATTGACAGCTGCTGATGTTTTTAGGTTATAAATATATTTATATTTTTTTAGTAGGAAAAAGGCAGTGAGAAATATAGGGTTTGTCAACAGAAGAGGTGAAATAGAGAATGGAGCTTTGATTGGGGGGATGCAAGAAAATCAGGGAAAGACAGAAAAGGATGTATTAAAGTTTAAAACCTTTTGACAACACACAGACACATACAAATATTCCACATTTCTCCATGTATGAAACTTTTTCCCAAACTGTTTCAGTTTAAAATTGGGTGTCGTCTTTTACACGAATTGAGCATAAAATATTATTGATTGATTTTGAGCTCAAAAAGGGGTATTCTTATACATAGGAGTGTCTTATACACACATATTCAATATACATCATAGCAGTGACCAAAGCAGAAATATGGCTGGAGACAGGCCTTTTCCCAGGCACGCTTCTCAATGACTCGGTGAGTATGCTGAGGTAGACAGAGAAGGGCTGGATCCGAAGACAGTGGCTGGAGTCTCTAAAGCGGCCGGGGCTGACATATATCTGTTTTATGTTTGTGCCAGGGCATGCAGGCGTGGAAGGAAATGAGCAAGCTGATCGGATTGCAGGTGAAGCTGCTGTGGAGGGCGGACAAACCATGAGCCATGCTGATATTCTGAATGCTCCACAAGAAATATTACGTTTACAAGAACAAAGTGATAACAGTGAACCAGCAACAATGACCAGACTGCACGAACAACGTGTAAAAAAGGGGTGTGGCCAGACAGATCAGTATGCAGGAAGCCAAATAAGAATAAGAAACCAACACAGAACTTATATCATGAGCCGCTTTATGCTGCAGGATTTATTAAGGAGGGAATCCGAGCACTTATGGACTGAATGGTTCGATGTGTAATAAGGATGACCTGTCGACTAACTAACTATACACACACGCACGTACACACACACATAAGGGACCCTTTCCACACCTTCAGGCAATTTGGGCATATAGTGTTAGACCTGTATTTGATAGACCAGTCAGAACTTTGTCAGCATCACGCCCTTCAAGATTATTTATTGGTATTTATTTAAGGCTAAGGTCGACCTGTAACCCCAGATCAGGGATACAAATCTACTTTTGTGTGGGTTTGAAGTGAAGACTCTGTGGCCAGCGAGCATTTCAAGAAACAGAATTAGACATTAAGCATAAATAGAAAATCTTCTCAGGGCAAAAACTATTATTTTCTTAATCAGCATAAAAGCACCGCTATTTGGAAAGTCTGCTTAATTATTTAATTTTGGAGGTTATAGAAATAGATAATATTATATTTTGCTTTTGTATTTGTCTGCGTTTGACAGCTTTTGCCGGTTTGATTGTTTGTTTTTTAAATATATGTTTCACAATGGTGCTTCTGTGAATGAGGGGAGTTTACAAGGAGTGATAAATGGGACTTTGTTGTCTGAAGGAAGATTTTAGGGAGTGTTTTTTTGTGTGTGGTATTGACAGTAGGCTTGTTTAAATCCCAAGTTATTTTGCATTTTATATAAGGGTGTGTATCTGTCTGTGTGCATCTCTATACTCTCATGCACACACTGGAACACACCCTCACGTACCCGTATATTTACACAAATATTACAGTCACTCCTTCATGGTGAAGTAAGAGGTGTTGCAGAGGAAATAATATTTTCTGAATAAACATAAAACAGTGGAGTTGAATGATAAGATTTTGACAAAGATTTTGACAACTCAATTTGTACACACACTTGTATATATATTTTTCACACATGAACACATGCTGTTGTTTTAGCACGGTCATTTTCACCGTTCAGTGAACATATAGTTTATTATTGGAGCAGTGTCTGTTGTTACTGGGTCATTTATTAACACAATCATTTTCACTGTTTTGTGAACATATAATTTCACAGTGAAGGATTATTTAGATACTGCATCATTGTTAGATGGATCATTTTATTGTCATGTGAACATATAGCTTCAAATTTACAGGTGTCTGTTGTTATTGGTTCATTGTTAAAACAGTCGTTTGTATCAGCATGTGAACATGTCATTTCACGTTGAAGATACTGAGTAATTGTTAACATGATAGTTGCACTGTCATGTGAATGTATAGCCTCTGATTCATAGGTATCTTCTATTACCAGTTCATTGCTAACACAGGAGTATCTAGGATACTGGTTCATTGTTAACACAGTCATTCTCATCAGGATGTTAGCCTATTGTTTCACAGTAAAGGGTATCTGTGGTTATTCATTGTTAACACAGTCAGATTCATCATCATCATGTTAGCAAAGAATTTTACATTATAGGGTATCTGTGGATACTGGTTCATTGTTAAAGCAATCATTTTCATCATCATGTCGACGTGTAGTTTCATACTGAAGAGTATCTGTGGATACTGGTTCATTGTTAGCACAGTCATTTTTATCATCATCATATTAGCAAATAATTTTACATTAAAGGGTATCTGTGGATAGTGATTCATTGTTAACACAATCATTTTCATCATCCTGTCAAGATATAGTTTCACATTAAAAGGTATCAGTGGATACTGGTTCATTGTTAGCGCAGTCTGATTCATCATCATATAGTTTCACATTGAAAGGTATCTGTGGATACTGGTTCATTGTTAGCGCAGTCTGGTTCATTGTTAGCGCAGTCTGATTCATCATCATAGTTTCACATTAAAAGTTATCTGTGGATACTGGTTCATTGTTAGCGCAGTCTGATTCATCATCATATAGTTTCACATTAAAAGGTATCTGTGGAAACTGGTTCATTGTTAGCACAGTCTGGTTCATCATCATAGAGTTTCACATTAAAAGGTATCTGTGGAAACTGGTTCATTGTTAGCTCAGTCTGATTCATCATCATATAGTTCCACATTAAAAGGTATCTGTGGAAACTGGTTCATTGTTAGCACAGTCTGGTTCATCATCATAGAGTTTCACATTAAAAGGTATCTGTGGATACTGGTTCATTGTTAGCACAGTCTGATTCATCATCATAGAGTTTCACATTAAAAGGTATCAGTGGATACTGGTTCATTGTTAGCGCAGTCTGATTCATCATCATATAGTT